TACTCGAGCAAAATGTTTACTTAGATGGGAAGATGGAAGATGTGTTTATTCTGAGACATAATTATGAGTGGTGAAGTTTCATAAATTCATTTTGCAAATACAGTTTTTATGCTGTGTAATTTAGTTGAAGGGGAAAAGGGCATTGTCTTTTCTTGGTTTCCATTCCCTTAATTGCACAAAATGAGAAACTTCATGGTGACTTTTGAGATCTTTTATGCTTTGAACTTTCAATGTGCTGTTCTTTGAATCCTTGATACTATAATGCTAGCCCTTGCAAAGCATTTTAGGCAGTTTTCAGCATGCAAGAACACATAAAATATTTCTCTTTTATAATTCTGTGATTCATACCTTGCTGTATAAAACCAAATTTTGTCTAAGTTTGTCTCCTGCAATAGTAGATACAACTCATTTTTATAGCTATCATTTATTACATATCCCAGTTACTTCAAATTGATACTTGTGCTTATCCAGAAATCATAGAATCATAGAATGGTTGGGTTGGAAGGGACCTTAAAGATCATCTAGTTCCACCCCCCCTGCCATGGGCAGGGACACCTTCCACTAGACCAGGTTGCTCAAAGCCTCATCCAGCCTGGCCTTGATCACGTCAGGGATGAGGCATCCACAGCTTCTCTGGGCAACCTGTTCCAGTGCTTCACCACCCTCTCCGGGAAGAACTTCTTCCTGATATCTAATCTAAACCTCCCCACTTTCAATTTAAACCTGTTAACCCTTGTCTGTCACTACAGGCCCTTGTAGAAAGTCCCCTCCCAGCTTCCTTGTAGCCCCTTCAGGTACTGGAAAGCTGCAATGAGGTCTCCTTGGAGCCTTCTCTTCTCCAGGCTGAACAAGCCCAATACTTGCAGCCTTTCATCACAGGAGAGGTGCTCCAGCCCTCTGAGCATCTTCGTGGCCTCCTCTGGACTCACTCCAAGTGGTCAATATCCTTCTGATGTTGAGGGCTTCACAGCTGGACGCAGCACTCCAGGTGGGGTCTCAAATAAAAACATGCTGCCATCTTCCTAAGCATCTGATCTGATGGAAGTTGGCCTCTAATGTGCTAATAATGTTTGTAGTTTTACGCTTTAACTGAGATTTAGCTAAACACACTGTTTCCTGAAAAGATTGCCCTATTTCACTCTGATTTAAATCGTTGGCCTTAGGTTACAGCCTGTTGTCTTTCAGCACACACCAAGCTGTCTGTCTGTCTTCACGAAGCCAGGTGAAGTGGTGATGCAGATGCTAATTGTACCCCCAACTTGAGCATCTTACCATTAGAACATGTTGCTTTGGGCACAGAACTTTGTTCGGTGCTGAAGCTTCAGCAATACCTGTTTCCTACCACAGATATTTGGGTATAGTCCTGAAAAAATAATACATCTGGTCGAGTAGGGCTGTGTGGACACTAGATTTCCTCATGTTTCTGTGTCTGTTACTCAAGTCTGAATCTCATTATGACCGAATGGCCGATGGGGAGATATTATTTAAGCACACGCAGCCATCCCCAAAACATCAGTGCTGTTAATCCAGCAGATACGGGACTCAGCCATACTTTAAAGCCCTGAATAAAGATGAATAGAATGTACACAGCATTATTACTTTTTAAAACATCCTTAATATTTTGAGTATGAATAGATCTGTGCATGAGAAGAGAGATATCATGCAATAAATGGAGCTGTGCATCTTGTGGAATTACAGTAAAATTATACTCAAGTGCAGAAGGTGGAGTTGATCGAGTGCGATTGTGCAGTGGTAGCTACCTCTGAGCAATGCAGAAATGCTTTGTGTTACGATAAGTGTTTCTCATGTTCCATTTGTTTTGGTCTAGAGGGAAATCGGGATGAGAGATTTTTTTCTTGAACCTAGATGTTTAAATTATTTGTAGAATTCTACCTCAGCAGTTACATGATTTAATCTGATTGCACACTTTTGTGGCACTTAGGGACTTGGTTTAGTTGTGGGCTTGGCAGTGTCAAGTTAATGGTTGGACTTGATCTTAAAGGTCTTTTCCAGCCTAAATGATCATATGATTCTGTAAAGACCTACAGCAAACTCCTATGGTGCACAGAGGCAGATCAAGCAAGGAGTGAGACACTGTCTCCCAAAGCATGCTATTAGGAGATACTGCCATAACTGGGATGCTGATAAACTCCACTGCCTTAGAAACTAAACTATAATAATACTGATTCTTAGTGAGATCCCAGTGCTGCATTGCTCCGAGTCAGGCAATAGCTACAGCCTTGCTCCAAATATCAGTAGCCAATAGTGGCATAACTCTGGATAAATTGTTTTCTGAACGTTCCTCTGTTGCTGTAGGGGAACTCATTAAAGAACACAAAGTGTAAAGCTGTGAATCATAGGTGTGCATACACACAGTAAATGGCTGTACAAGGGAAGACCAGCAGATTGAGAATTCTCTGCATCTTCTTGTTCTTGGCATATTGGCTCATTGCATACTTTAAAGCACAAGTCCCTGTGTGAGTCTTGAGTGTAACACCAAATACGGATTTTAGGTAATACAGAATTTGTTTCCACAGAAAGACACCAAAGAGAATGTGAAATAGCCTATAAAGAAGACTTTCTTTTTCAACTAAAGGATATGTGGCATGGGATGAAGTGATTTTTTCCTTAAACACATAAATGTGTAAGCCTTTACAAATATGCCGGTATCTCCAAAAAGGCCTTTGTGTCCAGCATGAAGCTGCTGAAGAGCCAAGGATTTAAGTAAGTCAGCCTGTAAGGTAAACATACACAGTTAGATTCTGAGGTGTATCACGTGAAAGTCAATTCCGAGTAGCTCTTGGTAGCATTGTAGGTTCATTGTTCTTTTGGTGTGTTGGGACTCTCTATTTCAACCCTGCGACTGGCACTTCTGAAAAATAAGGAAGTTCAGTCACTTTACATCTGTGTCAGTTTTACATATACAAGAGCAAATCTTGGCAGACAAAGTCAATTTAACAACGATGCAATAATTTATGTTGATGGTGGGTAGTTTTTAGTGGACTGGTGTTTGTTTATTTGGCCAGATTTAAAGCAGTGGGGGGTGCACGGTTTGCCATAGTTGACATTGTCCTTGTCACACTGGAATCATTTACGGAAGGGTGGCAGTCATAACTGGGAAAGACTACACCTTTGTATCCCTCCTATTTACTTTCTGCTTGGCGGATACTAAACAAATCCCTGAGGAGATACAGTATGGATTTGCTGAGTACATTGCTCGTACATTTAAATTGTAATTACCATGTTTCTTTCTTTACATACTTTTTAAAAGCTCCTTTAAATGAAACTGGAGGTAAAACCTAATCTAACATGTAGCACATTAAACCCAAGAAGTCTTTCTGTAGGAATTCTTCCTATATGAACTGTTTGTCTTTCTGGCTCAGCAGTTCCACTTCATCAGACTGAAGTCTTTTACTGAATGTTGTCATATGGAGCTTTCCACAGTCAAATTTTGGACCTTTCAGGCTTTGAGCATAATACATAATGACACTGGTAGTGTTTACAGTCTTCTATTAAAAATATGCAAACACTGCCATTGTACAGCAAAAACTTCGACCTACAAAACATCAGCTTAAGCATCTGACAAACTGACTTCATCAGACTGAAGTCTTTTACTGAATGTTGTCATATGGAGCTTTCCACAGTCAAATTTTGGACCTTTCAGGCTTTGAGCATAATACATAATGACACTGGTAGTGTTTACAGTCTTCTATTAAAAATATGCAAACACTGCCATTGTACAGCAAAAACTTCGACCTACAAAACATCAGCTTAAGCATCTGACAAACTGCGGCATC